AGTTTAATATAAAAATAAAATTTTTAAATTAAATATTCAAAATTTTATATTTTATTTAATTTTAAATATTTATTATGCATTTTATACCAGAATGACAGAATAATATTTTGAAAAAAAAAATTGCAAATGAGAATAAAAAACAAGAAACTTAGGGCCCGTTTGGTAGCGTTCCTGCCTCTTGTTTCTCGTTTCCAAATTTTATTAAGAAATTTAAGCTTTTGCAACTAAATATGTTTCTTGTTTTCTAATTTTTTTTTGGAAACATTTATAGAAATTTTGGAAACAATTAAAACAAGTTTCTTGTTTCTGTTTAAAATTTGTTACAATACATAAATATAAATATTGTTCGATCATCCTTGAATTCATGAGTGTTAGGTCATACAATCCTATTATTCTTTATTAAAAATGAAGAAACATAAACAGAAAAACGAGAATGTTACCAAACGAGCCATTGATTTTGTTGTTTCCAAAATTTCTTCTCAATTTCGGAAACCTTCCTTAAAAGCACTAAAAAAGTCATACTTGTATAAGTACATTTGATTAACTTATTGTTTTTACTTGATACTGTTTTACAATAACAAACCTAAATGTAATTCTGAATTATTTATCATTTATTATTACACTTCTCACTTCAAAACAGGGATTTTTATTTTCCTTTTTAGAAAAAACAAATACATGTTTCACTTGAAAATAAATTCCAAAAAAACAAAATTAATAATTTTTGTCATCTTCCTTTTGTAATATACAATCTAATATATGAGTGGTGGTCCTCTTGGTGCATATGGAAGGTGGTGGAAAAGCACAGACATGGGAGAAAAGTTTGAGTTTGCAAGGGACAGATTAATGGCAAATTTCTTCTGGTCTGTGGGAATGAGTCCCAGTGATCCCCGTTTCGGATACTTTAGAAGGATGACTACCAAAATCGCTTCGTTAATAACAGTAATTGACGATGTTTACGACGTGTATGGAACTTTGGACGAACTCGAACTCTTTACTGATGCGGTCGAAAGGTAATTTGTTAGATCAAGTTTAACGATCGCTATGCTAAGTTTTATAACATATATATTACGAATATATATGATTTAATATTATCGTAACTAAATTGGCTTACTAGTTTATTACTTCAGATGGGATATTGATGCACTCGATATGTTACCATGCTACCTGAAAATATGTTTCACTACTCTCCATAATACCATCAATGATGTGGCTTTCGATATTCTTGAAGATCAAGGAGTCAACGTCATTCAATATTTAAGAAAAGTGGTAAAAACATCTGCTTAATTATTTTTTGCTGAATTTTTATTTTGATGTGAATTTGAAGATTTTTTTTATTTTTTATTTTGTTGTGAAATTCTAACTCCATTTATATTTAAATGTTTGTAGTGGGTAGATTTATGCAAAACATTTTTGACGGAGGCAAAGTGGTACTACACTAATTATAAACCAACATTCCAAGAGTATTTAGATAATGCTTGGATTTCAGTATCGGGACCTCTTCTTCTAGTTCATGCTTATGTCTTTACGACAAAATCAATAACAACAGAGGACTTGGAAGGCTTGGAAGACTATCCTGATCTTATTCGATATTCATCCATGATATTTCGTCTTTCTAATGACTTGGCTTCATCATCGGTATTTATTTTAAAATAGTATTATATTATTGTATCATTCATTTAATGAATTTTTAGCACGTACGCAAATAATTACTAATGATGAAACTTTTTCTCAAAATCATACGATGAAGCAGAGAGAGGTGAAGTTGCAAATTCACTTCAATGCTACATGAACGACACGGATGCATCTGAACATGAAGCACGAACGCATATAGAGGGTTTGATTGTTGAGTCGTGGAAGAAAATTAACCAAGTACAAAATATGAGTTCTTCACCATACTTTTCTCGGACTTTGATTGAAATTGCTTCAAATCTTGCTAGAATTGCTCACACGGTCTACCAACATAGAGATGGGCACACTGTCGAAGATCATGAGACCAGAGATGGCGTATTATCCTTATTCATCAACCCTATTTAGATTCATATATGGACTTTACTTAAAAATTATATTTTGTTGGTGAATGTTCCTTTGTGATATTCGTGCATAGAAAGAAATAGTTAAAAACTCAATGTAAGTATACAGCAATTACTAAAAGCTCTACTTGATTGTTCGCCAATGTAGATCCTAAATTTGTTGGGTATTTTATTTTATTATTCTTTTTTTATTTGATCTATAATAATTTTAGTTGATTTGTAGTCGTTTTCTTTCTGGATTTTTGTTTAGATTTTATGGCAAACTTTTTTTCTTAATTTGTGTTTTATCAAAAATAAAAGTAATTTATAATAAAAATAAAAACATAATTTGTTTTAATATAGATTTCCTTCTTTTGTTATATAAAATATTTTTAGTTAAAATAATACAAAATCTTTTTCATTTGGAAACTGTTAGTTTGATTGATCAAAATTTGGTAAAAATTAAATATTTCAATCAGTGTTTGAAATCATAAAATCTTGTTATTTTATTTTATTTTATTTTTAAGATTCGGCTAATTAATAAAAACTATCGGCACTCGCAATTATAGCAAAAAAAAAAATTAAGAAAATTAGAAATTTAGCATCTTTTTTTTTTCTTTTGTACCTATATAGAAAAATCTTTCCCAAAAAATGGAGGTCCAAATGGATAAATCTCAAATTTACCCTTAATTAGTCCAAAAACACGGAGGCTGAATAGCCGAGTCTTGTGGGATGTTGGATTCAATTTCCCTAAGATTTTCACTCGTATATATGTCTCATATATACTTGATATACCTCTAATTTACCACTGATATCTCACGAATATTGAATTGATGTATCACTAATATAACTATGTATCTATTGATATAAATTATTAATTATATGATTATATGATTTACCACGAATATATTTATGATATATACTCGATATGTCTACAATTTATTACTGATATACCTCTAATATAATCGTGATATCTACTTATATAACTATAATATTTTGTGTGTTTATATAATACTAATATATCTACTAAATTTTTTTAATAAAATAAGGTGCAAAAAAAGAAAATGAAATTTAAAGTTATTAATATCCAACTAATATACTAATGATATAACTTCTGATATGATTATATAATTTACTGTAGATTGATTTATCACTCATATAACCCTAATATATGTATGATATATATTTGAAATATATCTAATATACAACTGCTTTTTTACTTTTGATATAATTACGGTATCTACCGATGTAACTACTAATATGATTATATGATTTATCATTGATTGATCTACTGATATAACTTGTAATATGAGATTTACTACTGATATATGATTTACCATTGATATAGTATTGATATATATCTAATACATGCTTGATATACTTCTAGTTTATTAGTGATATACTTATGATATAAATATGATATCTGTGTGTTAATTTATACTTTTGATATGATTATATGATGTAATATGGAAAAAAATTATTTTTGAGATCAAAGTTTTTGTTCAAAATAAACAACTGATGTGATTACATGGTGGTATATATATAATTGATATGCTCATGATATATGTCAGATATACCACTGATATAACTAATATATATCTTATATTTAGTATATCAATTACATGTATACTTAATATGAAATATAACAATGCGATATACTTCACTGATAAACTTCATATTTAAATAGAACGAAGAACATAAACACTTCAACATAAAATAAATCGTAGCAATCAAAATTGACGATGTTATTACAATCGATGATAATTAGAGGTTGGATGTGCATTTTGTTGGGTGTTTTAGTCCGATAAGGACACAGTTTGTTGTTGGAGTGTGGTGATGATTAAGGACAAGTCCTCAATGACTTCTTCATCATGATCTTGGTTCAAGAGGGACAAAATTATGTTGTATGATTTTTGGCGTTTCAATTCCTTACCGTCTTCACTTCTCATGTCTTCATTAATTTGAGTATCACCGTTTTGCCATTTTGAGACCGTTTCAAATAGATATATTTATATAGACATATGATGTTTGTGCAAAAAGGGAAGAGAAAAAAAAATATGAGGAGAGAGACAGCAGAGGGCAACGAGCCTTAAACAAAAGGAACCAACAAAAAACACAAAGTTATGGTCGAAATTTAATTTAGTGGAAATCCTTAGATATTTTATTGCATTTCAATGTGGCCAACACAACAAAACATGTCCAGCTCATGTAAAGTTTATATCCATTAACAAATATGAGTGATGAAGTACAATTTAAAACTGTTAAGGATCCCACATTGAAAAGAGAGGGGACCTAACAATGGTTTATAATAGACATGGACTACTCCTCTCCTTGTCAATTAATTTTTTTCACATATACTGGAACTAGACACAAAATGCTACTCTGCACAAAAGAAAATAGACGGGTTGAATTTACTATAAATATGAGCTAAGTGCCAAAAACTTGTGTCTTATCATTCCTCACTCTTTCGTCGCAATCTATCAAACAAGCTCTCTCTCGTGGTCTACTTTTATTTTATTTATTTTTTCTTTATCTTCCATTCACCGTAGCTTCTTTCATATTCTTCTTTTCTTTTTTGTTATTGTTTATGCAAGGATATGCACAACAGTGTATTTCAGATTGCAGCTCGAACTCGGCCTCCGGACCGATCTGAATACTTGGGCAGACCTGCACAAAAAGGTGAGCACTCCGACGATCAAGTCAGTATAGGTCGGATTCCCAGTTTAGTTCGAGGTCAGAAATCATCGTACCTGATCGTGGAGTGAGGTCCTCTACTTATAGGTGGTAGTCCTGCTAATCTCGCGACGGTTACACTCGGTAATCTCGGGACCGTCGGTTACACCCGGTAATCTCGAGACTGACGGTTACACCCGATAATCACGCCGCTGACAGTAGCTCACATCGGCCCCTACCGAGCTTCCCGGTAGGTCGGACCTCGGCCAGGTTCACCTCGGCCCTCATACTTAGCATCGGTCAACGCTAGTGGTGGTGATCTCGGCGGTCTGAGCTGAGCATGACTCATGAGTCATCTTGGAGCACCAATAGGGGTCCTCCATGTGTCCAGGGTATTCTCTTCCCCAAACACACTTCTTTAATTCAAATTTGAAAGTTATAATTGTTTAAACATAAGTTTTGAAATTAGTAATATAAAAAAAATCCCACTTTTTAATGATGGGTTAAAAATAAAAGAATCAATGGACCAACAAGACAATTTTAGTAGAATTCTCTATCCTTCTGATCTTGATCCATGGTTATTATATACATTACAAAATACCGCTCGAAGGGGTTTTTCAATAAAGGAAAGAAAGTAAAAATAGTGCAAGATTTTAGCTGGCCCTAATAGTCAGCAATCTCAACGGTAAGAATGGCATTTACATAATGATTTGGTGGGCTGATCACTTCCATTGTTTTAGAAACATTCCAATTTAGAGTTCTTGTATAAGGGAACTGTGAGCTGCTGGATAAGGCTAATATACCACCGGCTATGTATGGTAATTATAATTGCTTTGTTGCCTTGTTGATGTCAATTAGTGGGCTTCCGTGGGAATCATCTTTGTGTGTATATTCTCATCATGTTGGGCTGGAGGTGATTGGTTTGCTGAAGTGGATTGTGTTGATGTGTCATCATCATCTAAGTTTCCAAAAAATGCTTTTAAAACGTAAAAACCTAAATAAATAATCATCATTGGTAAAGAAATTAAATTTTTTAATAGTATAAAACTAAAATAAAACCACTATTGAATAACGAAACTTAAATTAACCATATAACTACATCATAGTTCAATCAATATGCTTGTGATTTAATAACCAATTTATTTAATTTCTTTGTCTATTTCAAGGCCGTCTGAGTATTAGAATATTTTAATTATGAAGTTTCAAATTCTCCTAGTT